GATACACGCAGGCTCAAATAGCTGGGTTGGTCGCACTGCAGAAAAAGGAAGAAAACGGAGAAGTAAATTCGAAAGGAAGAAAAGAAGGGTAAAAGGAGACGAAGACACGACGATGGTAATTACAGGCACACATTCGCCGAGAGAGGAGAGGAAAAAGGAAGGCGGGCCCGTTTGCAGGTGCAGCCCGGTTTTAACGCAACTACGTTATCGGGCGGCGGTATCAGGAAGCGCGGAAACAGAAACGAGAAACTAGAAAGTCTTTGTCCCACGACGGTGATAGCAAGCAGCAGTGACGTTAGAGGTGGGTATAGGTAAGTGGTGCTGGTAGCTGGAAATCCAATGGTGCCGGCGTACGTGTGGGACAGGGGGCAGGGGGAGGGCCCAGGGAATAGGTAGGTACCTTTGATAAGGAGACATTAGCGACCCGTATGTGATACCACGGTGTCTGATAAGCGACACACGACTAGACGCAGTTCCGTCTCTTGTTCGTGCGTTCGCTCGTTTTTGACGACAGCATCAGGAAAGTCTCTGGACTCTCTCTCCCTATTCTGACGTGGCGCCAGAGTCACTTCTCGACATCGGAAGGAGCTTCCAAGCTTGCGGCGAGATTGTATTACGAAGATGTAATGACACAAAGCAAATTTAGAATAGAAGTTCTTTTCAATCTTGTCAATGTGTTTCTACTTTGGACGTTCGTCGATGACTTTACAAAATCTAGAATATCTACTCTGTACGTCGTGATCGCAAAACATTCGATCCTCCTAGCTTACGATAAAGAACCGAGAATACCCCAAGCTACCTGTCTGAGTGTTCGCTAAAATTATCAAAAATCTGGAATAATAAATATTAATAATATAATACTAAAAAAGAAGAGGCATACAGTCAATTAAATTAAAACGAACTTATCGTTGTCAGATTTCCCGTACGATATTCGAACGAAGCGTTATCCTGTTTCTAACTAAGTATTTAGACGATTAAACTTTGTCACGTTTAACATTTGCCTGATGGTTTCTTTTTCGACATTGGGGAACCGAAAGGTCGTTCCTAAATGCTTGGAAAGCTTTAGGTTCTCTTACACATGACGCAGCAAGTTCACCTGTGAATTATCGTCTATCTTCGAAATTTGCATGGTGTATACGATAGGGAATAAAGAGAGGAAAGACACGCGAGTTAAACGAACGAAATTGAAATCTAAACGCGTCATCAGAGAGATACGTTGTCGAGGGCGACATTCGTAATTCAAATTCAATAAACGCCCGCACGGCGACACAACCCCTTTCGTTACGTCAAGAAGAAAAAGTGTGGCCCTGTAATCGGTTCCCGGTAAGCAGGTGCGAGAGCACCGAGAATATATATCGTTAACCGTAGACGCTATCGTATCGCTAACCACAACGGTAACGTTTCTCCTATCGCACCCCTATGTTAACTGCGAGTTCTCACCCAGGGTGGTTGACGTCCGTCTTTCGCAGGCTAGAACACGGTCCGATAATTTCTCTAATCTAGTGGAAAGAAGACAATTAAGGCTATACAGGCGAGACTGTTGGAACAATCGACTCAACGTAGGAGGACTAAGGATACGATAAAGAGGTGGAGAAAAATGAATGTATCAGTGAATATGATAATAAGCGAATAAACTATGCAATTCAATTAGATAAAAGTTAGTCGTTAGAAATGTGAAGCTGTCACATATTCTCTTAACTTCCTAATATATTCTATGAGTTTAATCTGTTCTCGTTTATGTCAGTCAAGTGAAGTATCTTCAATCCAACCGAATCCAAGTAACACCATCGACTCAAACTAAAACCTAAATCCATCTCCTTAATTCTACAAATAGAAAACTTTCGATCTCTCAATTTTCTCAAACCAAGTCACGAGTTAGCTAGTAACATTCGTCAAAAGAATCTCAACTTGGCTAGAAACCGGAAAAAGCACTTCGAGTTTCTCAAATAACGAGTTCATGCCCAAAGTGTTTCCGAGCATCTTAAATCCGATCGAACTGAATTCCGGAAACTCGACTAATTCGACTTTAATCAAACCTTCCTGCTCGTTCCACGATTAAAAATCTTTTATCTGAGTCACGACCAAAATCATCCAGCCTTACGCCTCTGCGATCGTAATCCACGTATTCCCTCGCAGCCGATTTCCCGATAACGCAAGCAAGCGAGACCGTAGGAAGGCCAGGACCGGTATATCCGTTGATCACCCGAAGGAGGTGCGTTTTATGCCCGCCATAAACCATATACGCCTCCGTTCCCATGATACGGACGCGAGAGGCAGCGCGTTCTTCTGTTCCTCTGGTATGCGCGCCACTTCTACCACACGTGACAACGTGTCGTCGTCGGGTAGATGTGCAGTTAGCCACCCAGAAACACGTGCGAACGCCAGCCACCAACACCCACGCGATCGTGACGTCCCTGTACGTAGTGGTCCACGTTGGTAACGACGCGTACAGGTATCTGCCAGCCAATCGAGGCGTTCTCTCGCCTATAATGGCTAGGTGTCCATTACATCTAGTCAGCCGCGGCGAAATAATAAAACGCGTCGAATGCCGGCGCCGTCGATCGGCCTTAAGAGATGCAGACCGAGGAAGAGAGAAAGAAGGAGAGACAGACAAAGAGAGAGAGAGAGAAAGAGAGAGAGAGAACGAGTGCGAACCCTCCGGGATATGTATCGTGTGCACGCGGAGTAGCCACGCGGCGGCGCGTAATTGAATCAATCGACGATTTACTACCGACGCGCGCTGCCCGGAGTGACGATTAATCTCGCCGCGGCTTGCGCGAGTACGCCGCGCGCACGCCCCGCAAAATATACTGTTATTTTCGTCGGCTCGTGGGTATTTATGAAGATACCGATCGGCCATCGTAATTGCGCCTGCCACGGGTTTCCGGAGTTCATTCATGGACGATGCGTTGGTTCACAGGTGATTTTATTATGCCCTTTCAAGGGCTGTTTAACCCCTCAGGGCATTGCGATTTAATTTGGTTGCACAGTAAGTTACGTTCTTTGAGAGGCGTGTAATTTAGTAATTATTGACGTTTTCAGAGGAAGAGTTATTCGTTTGTGACTTTTACGTAGGCGGATATATTTTTTGTATCGATTTGACTCGCAGGGTTAACGGAGATTATATAAAATTCAAAGAAGGAAGAACCGTCAAAGAATATACCACCTAGCCGCCTCCAACTTTAGTAAATTCCCAGCGAGCGATCCAACGGCGCATGGTGATTGCTCGTAGCGCGACGAAAGACAGGTAGTTCCATAACCGAAATCACAGAACCGAGGGACGGTCGCCATCAACCGAGCAATTTACATAAGAAAGAAACGCTGTATGACGTAACGCGGCAACCTTCGGAAAATCTATTTCCGCGACGTTGACGTGATCATTCTACATTACATTACTACATCACGTCCTAGCCGCCATACGTGAAAGAAGAGAAAAAATGTAGCAGGAGAAATCTACAAGGGTGTAAGAAAAGAAAAATCGTAGGAGAATACAGAGAGAGAGAGAGAGAGAGAGACGAAGAAAAGGACAGAGAGAGAGGGGGGAGAGAAAACGAAAGATTCCCTCGGAAGCTTCGATGAGCGACGTGTTATCAGACAGCTCGATAACGTTTCATCCTTTGAACAGACGTCGGGAGGCTGTAGTCGAGAGATCGGCAGTTTGGAACGACGTTTCGTCATCTCGTTTCCTCCGCTTCCCCGTGCCTGATGTCTCGTGACCGTTTATTTCACGTCCTTCTACGTTCAACCACTCTCGCGAACGCGCGATGGATCTCGACAAAATGGCGATAACAAGAGAGATCGTCAACAAATTTACTCGTCCAAGAGGGGAAACAAACTTTTAATCGTTCGCTTTTTCGTGTCCCCGATGGGCGTTCGCTCTCTTATCGCATGGAGACACGTCGCATCGAAGATAAACCACGGTTTGGGCATGTATCAAGAAAGAAAATAATATATTTATTTTTCTGGGATTCTTTATTTGCTTGTTGTTTTTCGTTCCTCTTTCCTCTTTCCTTCTTTTTTGTAGTTATTACGGTAAATGTTGCGTCACGAAAATTGCACGATACTCGAAAGAATATCGTTCCTATCGGCCATTATCACTTTCGCGGTGATGTGCGAGCATTTGCAAGCAGCCTGACGCGCAGAGATCACGACTTATCGGCATGCACACGTTTCTCGACAAGCAATCTGTATAGATAAGCCGATATCTTTTTCGGTAGTTCGCACTTACGCCGTCTTTTATCCCGGAAGGTGGCCTTCGGACGCATAATTGCCGCCATTATTCCGCTTAAAAGCGAAGTTTTTCTCTCGTTTGCTTTTATTTTTCTACCGAGAACAATTACACCAAGTGCATCGGGTAAATGCATACGAAAGATATACGAAAAAAAAGCGAGCACGTGCGATAAAAGTTATTTACTCAATTTCTTGCCGATCTTCAATCCTATCTTCCTCTAAGTATTTCTTTATTTCGTGTTATCAACAAACGTAACAACCATCGTTTCACCGAATATATTTTATTTTAATCCTCCACTACTAATTTCCCGCCTTTAAATTAAAACGAAAATTCACAGAACGAAAAACCGTCATCAGCTAGTGGCGAAAATAAACGACGAAGATGGCGAAAGATGAGAAAAGAAACGAGCATCAGCGCCAATATCAGCGCGGGAGCAGGAATCTGCTTTTTGTAATGGCGGGATGTGGCTCTTTTTGGCCTTTCAGCCGGTGGCTTTCAGAGCCTTCCAGCGTGGCAGATAATGAACGAGCACCCTCGCACACCACCGCTGCAAACTCTGTCTTTCTATCCCTCTCTCGCGAGTCGACTCTCCGCTACTACAACCGTAACTATCCCTCTTTGCCTCCCTGGTTCCCTACGGCCACCCTCGCTCGATTCACCTTCTCGGCCAACGATGTCAACAGGTGGGCAACGCGGATGCGACCTAACCAACGGGCCTGTGTTGGCCTCCTGTCGATTCGATCGACCACGGCCTCCTCTCCATCGGGGCTGTTGACATCCGTCGTCGACGACGACGAGTCGTGTCGTCGCTGCGTTCCACGCAACCGATAGGGAAAAAGTATGCGGCAGGAAATGGCACTCGCGTGACACACAAAAGACGATGGCGGACAATGATACCACGTCTGAAAGAGAAACTTCACGCACTGACTGGCACACAACAGCCTCGAACGATCATCCAGGTAGGCTAAGCTTGCGTCTCTGATAGTAGTTTTCCCTACCGAATTTTCCACAGTCCCGTGATTTCCATGCATACGATGGTTCTGCAATGGCAACATTTGCTTAATACAAGTTTTCTCTTCCCGGAGATTTTCCACTAGTACCTGGCTATTATTACTCTTATTAACTCATAGAACCGATTCGACGAAATCAGCCTCTGATATTGCGTACGGATAGTAAACAAATGCATATACGTTTCTCGTTAACTAACCAATTAACGAATCACTGCTATATCTAGTTGCCGACGATATTAGACTGATCGTTGGAACTCTGATTTATGGAAGGTTGCGATCTAATCGTTCGTTGTATTTATTGAAGTATCTTGAACAAAAGCAACAAGTTGAATTTACCACCGATTGGCTTGGAATATCAAGTCAGATTGCGAAGTGTTCCGCGATTTCTCGCACTAAGAATAGATTTTGAGACACAAAGTTCATCGGTCCGTGGAACTCTGAGGTACGAAGCATGCCGATAATCTTTCGCCGTCTATACACGCCTGTAGTTCTCTCGCATCGGCCACAATAAGTCCATGTCAATAAACTTTTCAACGCTTCTTTCAGCCAGATTAGATTCCACGGCGGTGCCGCCCTCGACATTCGCCAATGGTAATCCAATAAACACACTTAAGAAGCGATATCGATCGAAGATCGAGGCATTATCGCGTGATCGGATCGCGGCAGCAAGGCACGAAGGTCTTATCGGAACACGATGGCAGAGACGGTGCAGAGACTGGTCTACCGACGCCATCGACAGGGATAACGATAAGGTGTTTTTCAGAGCGAATCAGCGTTAATGGATGTTTTCACGCGAGCTCGCGCGCGAAGCTGCATCGCGTTGTAGATAAGTTGCACATCGCGGAATATTGACAGACATCGCATCTCTCCACTTTTAATTCGCATCATCCGCGACTATACCCGTGCCCCGCAACTCGACTCACCCCCTATCTTTCTCTTGCTCTTGTCGATAGTCGCTTGGCTGCTCTGCTTTCTCTCTTATACGCTGGAAAGCTTTCACTGATGCGCTCCTTCGTCTTCCTCGCTTTCTGCAACGATATCAGGGAGTAGACCGATACCCTCGCGGTGATCTCTGGGACAAGACAACAATGCAATCTGCACTGTCCGGGCGTTCGATCGTTGGAAAACACACTCCTTATCAAATTGCGTTGCTACGAGGCCGAACGAAAACCACCGTTAATCCACGAAAAATTTCTCCGTCTCGCGATATCTCTCGAATCGACCATGAGGAGCCCCGATAGACCTGATCGAATGGCGTTTTACAGCCTTTAAACCAGGAAACCGATCTTAAGAAAGGCTTCAAGGTTAAGAAACACGTATACCACTTCGTTCACAGAGCAACGGAATTGTGCGGTTTGCTACTGTACGAAAAACTCTTTTTCCAATCGGCTGGTAGCCTGTTATTTTCCGTTCACCTTCGATGAAAATAGAAGAAAGTCGGAGAAGGAGAGAACATTTTTAAGTGCATGGACGAACGCCGCGGCGATTTTGTTCAAAATGGCCTACGAGCTGTTGGCCGTCGATAGGATATCAGTTGATGGTCAGCCGGACGGAGATAGCGGTAATGAGCGACGAGAGGAAAGTTCCCATCGGGCGAATAACCAGTAAAAGGAGTCGCGGGAAAGAGGGG